CTGTTTTTAAAGTACACATTGCCTCATAAGACTATAATGCCCCAGGATAAATTTGGGCTTTAGGTACAGCTGGATCCAGGGGCTAAGAAGTTATAATCAGGACTTGTCTCTCTGTTACTCAGATCTGCTTTCCTCTGGGTTGACTTAATTTTCGTTCAGGCTCTCTCTAGTTGGTGACTCTGGGGAGCTCTAGGTTTATACCAGTTGTCTTTACAGAAATCACAGCAAAAACAAAGTGCCCTATTTAGGGTGATCCAATCAAAGTTGGAGACCACATTTACCTGGCTTACCCAAAGCTGATCTGTGCGGTAACTCCGCTACAGCCATGTAGTCTAAAGAACAGGATGGCTTCCCTAAAGAAAAAAAAGTAAGATGCTGGCCCTTAAGTATCTTCACTCATATACCCAATAGTATATTCTGACCTGTTTCATCACTTTGCTGAGAGGTAGAGAAGGAAAGCGAGGTGGAGGGACAGGAAAGGAGGGAGTATAGGGAGGAGTAAGAGGAGGAAGAAATGCTTGAATACAAAAGTAGCAGATGTTCCTGGAACTCTCTTCCTTCTTCCCAACATTCTCACTCAATATCGTTCTGTCCTGGGACAGGCCTAAGCCCAGTGAGCAAGTATAAGCAAGTAGAAAATGTCCTGCCCAGCAGAGAAGCAAAGTTTGTTTCCATGACCTCGTCCCCTTCCCTCCATCCCTGTCTCTTCTAAGTATTAACGATAACATGAAGACCAGGGCAGAAAACACATGCAGTGTCTCAGGATATTTGTATTTTTTCTAACTTCACCCATAAGCTAGATAATACTAATACCTGTAGAGGCAGAGGCACTTTACAGAAAGCCTGTCATATTCAGTTATCCCTACCAACACCCACTTGTTTGTCCACCTGTATGTCCAGGGCTAAACCCACAGTAAAGATGTGAAAATGGAAAAGGAGCACCTAGATCTTTCTTCACTGACATCCATAAGAGTAGCCAACAGGGAGAACCCTCAGGCCTGCCCTCATCTCTGTTCACTGTGTCTTATATGTGGTTGTATCTATGTCAGTGACTCCCCTAAGTAGAGCCCAGTGTTGCCATCCTGGAGAACTCCTGTCCTGAATTGGGCCTGTACAAAAGTGACAGGAAGAGAATGACTTCAATTAGAACCCAGGAGCCTGGGTATCAGCCCTCCTGTCTGCCCATGGAGGACTAGATGAGTGCAGACAGGTGCCTTAACTCACGCTCAGGTTTTGAGCCAAGAACCCACTGAAGCAGCAAGAATGTAAAACCTCAACACAGTCTGGGGCAGCATGGTAGCAGAAAAGCAAAACTGAGTGATGGAGAGACCCAGTTCACATGACAACCCCTGAGCCCTTGGATCCAGCTGCCTAGCATGGAAACCACAGCTCCCTGCCTGTACAGCAGAGGTGACTATCTGGGCAGCTCTGCACAGAAATATGCTTGTGAAGATGGTCCTTTGTTTTGTTTTATAGTGAAGTTAAATACTAGCCACTTAAAACTTGACCACCTTTGATGATGACTTGTGACCAAAGGCGCACAGGGGCTGAGATTATGTAAATGTGGAAATAACTATTGGGCCTCAGCTTGGTAATAAGGTTAACATTACAGACTTGGTAATAAGGTAAACTAAGGGTTAGGTTCATCGACCCAGCACATTATTGCTGCTTCCAAATGGTCTGTATTGCAGTTAGCTGGTATCTTCAGGATGATATGGTCCTATGTCTCCATCAACTAACTGTTGCTCTGGACCACATGATGGGCAGATGTCTGTTTCTAGTGACCCTTGACTATAGATTCCAAATTTAGCATTTTTTTTCTGTCCAGTGTTTTCTTTTCTTTAAAGGCAGGCTATCATGAGGCTCCCTGAAATTATATAACATGCTCTTGTGGATGTTTACCAGCTTGTTCTGAATTATGTTAATAGATTCAGTCATATTTCAAAATCAGATTTAAAATAAAAGCTTTTCTTGCAATTACATTGCTTCTCAAGTAGACTATACTGATTACAAGTAAATTAAAAAATACACTTTTTATGATCAGTCCTACCAATTGGTCAGAAAAATGTTGTAAATGTGAACTGGCAAACTTCTGAACATGCATTTTGTATTTAATGTCACAGGCTCAGAATTCATAATTTCCTCTGAAGATTTGGACTGTTTGTGGGATTTTACCTGAGCCAAATAGAGGATTGGCAACTGTTTTTGAATATTGTGGTCTTGAGATTCAACAGAGTATTTTAAAACTAGTTACCATTTTTTAATATGCATTGTTGCTCCCCTCTTATTTAGCTTATACATTGGGGCAGATACTAGAAAAGTATTTGCTTTGACTGCTTAGCACATTGTTAATTAGCAAATGCATATATTAATAAAAACATCAGGAAGCGTGTTCTTAATTCAGTGATAAATAATATCTTGGGTCAAGAAGATATTAACTCAAAATGAAGCAAAAGAACTTTCCAAGTAATGGGATTTTTAAATGAAAGTAATAATGCACTTTTTCATTATAACTACCCATCCTAATATTCATTCATCCACAGATATTCATTGACTACAAAGTAAGTGCCAATTAGAGCAATAGACATTGTGGGTATAATCATGAAAATGAGAGACCAGGGCCCTCTGTGCAGCCAAGAGTGGGCTGGAGAAACAGACACATAGGTGGTAGAAGGAGTCGTTGCCAAGGCCACAGGGTTTTGACCAGACATGTCTTCATTTTGCAGTTTATCTTTATGGTTTTCTAAGTATTTTCTTATTTTGTAATAAACTTCTTTATGAGATTAGCCATATTAAAAGTGGCAAATGGAGATCTGTATACATAACAAGACCATTGATTTTCAGCTTTCAAGCCCAGGGTGACTTTTGTCTTCCCTGTTGACATCGGGTCATCAACCTACTGAGAGTGTCCCCAGGAGCCTTGTTTGAGTCCAGCAATTCTTTGTGGGGCTGACAAATCAGAATGTGATGGTCTAATTATAGAGCGAGAGATTCTTTCTGAACCTCCTGTTTGTCACTGACACACTGTGTCCATCCTTGTATATGTCTCCTCCCTCTGAACAGCTGTGGCGTGATTGAGTTTCCAGTGATGATTTGGTCTCAGAAACTTCAGTTCTGGAAAGGGAAGCAAACCTGCATTCACATCATTTGCTTCCTGTTGCTGCTGAAGTGGCTTAAAACAATGCATACTTACTCTTTGACAGATTTGGAGTCCGGAAGTATATATGAATCTGCAGGGCTATGTTCTTCCTGAGGGTCCCATCTAAAAGCTGTGTGCATTTCTTGGCATGCTGTCCATCTTCAAAGCCTGAAGCCTGTGCCTTCTCTCTGGCCTCTTTGCTCCAACCTCTAGGATTATCTTTCTCACTCTGACTGACCTCCCTCCCTCTGATACAGACTGGTGTGATTACACTAAGCCTGTCTGATAACCCAGGGTAATCTCTCCATCTGCAAAGTCCCCTTCACCGTGGAAGATAAGGTTCTTTAAAGTTCTGGGAGATAACACATGGACAGATGGCATGCAAAGAGTGGAATTCAAGGCCTGTCACCAAGCTAGTGTCTGCACTGCCTACTCGGGACAGCATTGTAATTCAGGTATAATTGTTATTTGCATTTTAACTGGCAGAGAAACTGGCTCAAAGCAAGAAAGTACCTTTTTCTAAGGTCTCTTAGTTTAGTCGCAGTTGACTCAGTTCTTCTATTCCAGACCTTATTATACTTCCTACTGTAGCCTTGCTATTCAAAATATGGCCCCAGAGCTTATTGAAAATGGAGTATCTCTGCCAAAACCAGATCCAGCAGGTCAGACCAGAATCTTTATGAAACCACCAGGTGAATCTTATGGACAATAAGACTTCAGAAGCACTTACTGAACTAGAATGCACTGTGCCCAATGTTCTCTGCTTTTCAGTGTATTATATATAATTCCTATGTGTATACTAGTAGCAAATGAGAATTCCTTTCAAGTATTAAAGGTAATGGTGTTTGGCAAGAGAACCATTTTTCCTTTAGACTTATGCTCAGCTTTCAGAGGAAATACTTCTAAGTATACAAGTTTTGTTTTATTTCTTAAACACTCTGAGTAACTGTGGCAGGATACTTTCTCCTATAGAAAACACCCACAGCAGCCTGTTAACAAAATGCCCTGGAAAACAGGTACACCTCTGTGCTTTGAAAGGATCTTGTATGTAGAGAGCTAGAACTGGGATTTGAATTTGGGTCACACACATGTAGAAAATCCCTTATCTGCCTTTCCAAAATTCATAAAACTGA